GAATTTGATGCAACACCAAGTGATGACATAAATTTGGAAGCAAATTACCAAACCCAAGAAGCCGAATATGTGATACAACAACCAGAAATAGTGGGTAACCAATCACAGATATAGAAAGTGATTTTCAGCAACAATTTGAGATATATTCAGCTCATTTCCAATCATTTTTACGAAAGGAAAAACATATATAATGGCGAAGAATAATGGATTTAAAGGAAACCCAGCAAATGACCGTCCAATTACTTGTCTCCCAACAATATATAAGATACTGACTGCTTATATTAGCGATCTTATAAATAAATACCTTACACAAAACGATATTATGTGCGTAGAACGGAAGGGATGCAAAAAACATGCAAAAGGATGTAAAGAACAACTAATAATTGACCAAATAATATTGGAACAAGCAGCTAAGTAAAATAGAAACCTGCACATGTGTTTTATTGATTACATGAAGGCTTTCAACGGTATTCATTCAACTATTGTTAATTTTCTTGAACACAACATGACGAGATGGCGAACAAACATAGAAATGTTCGCTCAAAATGGAGTCATACGAACAGATGAAATAAGCATTCGACAAGGAATTTTTCAAAGTGACTGCCTGTCAGCCTTGTGGTTTTGTATGGCGCTCAATCCGCTAAGTAATCTCTTAAGGAACGCAAAGTATGGCTTTAAAATTAAAAGTAATTCTCAAGAATGTAAAATAAATCATCTCATGTATATGGATGATTTAAAGATATATGCCTTGAGGCGAGAAACCTTAGATAAGCTTATTAAAATAGTCGAGGACTTTAGTAATGACATTAGAATGAAGTTTGGCATTGAAAAATGCAGAAAAATCAGCATTGTTCGTGGAAAAATCATTAAATTCGAACATTTTGAGCAAAACGAATCGATTATTAAAGACATGAAAAAAAACGAACTGTACAAATATCTTGGTGTATCTCAAAGCAGAAGAATAGCACACAAAGCTGTAAAAGATAAAGTATATAGTGAATTTAAAGGACGTATTCACAAGATAGCCAAGACAAATCTGCAGGGTAAATGTTTGATAAAAGCCATCAATACTTTTGCTATTCCCATTCTGACTTATTGTTTCGGAATAATACAATGGACAACGACTGAAATTTAAGCGATGCAGCGAAAAATACGAACTATGCTCACAGAATACAAATTCCACCATCCAAAGTCATGTTGTGAGCGAATGACTATGCCTAGAAAGGAAGGAGGTAGAGGCCTTATTGATCTGCAAGAACTACATGACAATCAAATTATATCAATGAGAGAAAATATTTTTTAAAGAATGCAGAAAATGATATCTTGTTTAAAATTTTAACCGAAGCAGACAAGCATTACACACCATTAAATTTGGAAGGAACTTTTGAAAGAAAAGCACAAGATCGGCAGTGTAAAGAGCAAGCTTGGGTAATCAAACCGCTACATGGAAGATATTATAGATCCACTAACGCCGACAATGTCGATAAAATTATGTCGCAAAAATGGCTTACATGTGGAACACTATTTGCTGAAACTGAGGCATTCATGATTGCAATACAGGACCAAGTAATTCCGACAAGAAATTACTGCAAATTTATAATGTCAGACCCTTCGCTAATTAGTGATAAATGTCGGCAATGTGGAGAACAAACGGAAACTGTAGATTACATACTGACAGGATGTACATGCTTAGCACAAACAGAATACACAAAGAGACACAATAACGTGGTTAATATTCTACATAAGCAAATATGCAATAAATATAGACTTATTGATAGAGAAAATGTTCCATACTATAAGTATACACCACAAGGAGTATATGGTAATCCAGACGTAAAAATTTATTATGATCGAACTATTTATTCCGATCACACGAGGTTGAACAATAGACCAGATATAACTATTGTTGATAAAAGACGTCGAGAAGGATTCTTCATTGATGTTGCAATACCAATGACCAAAAACATGGATCGGACTTATTTTGGAAATGTAGTCGATATGCAGAATTAACTGTGGAAACAAAACGTAATTGGAACCTAAACAAAATTGAAATTCTTCCAATTATAATTAGTGCTGAAGGTGTAACGCCAAAAAGTTTATTGTCGCATATTCGAAGACTTGAATTAAACCAGCGAATTATTGATGACATCCAGAAAAGTGTTATAATTGATTCCTGTTATATTACTCGCAAATTTTTAAATATTAATTAATTTGAAAATAGTTTGAATAAATATATAGATTATGTGTTATATTTTGTACTGGCTTAGGCCACCAAAACTTACCAAAAAACCCATTACGGAGAATTAAATAAAAAAAAAAAATAAAAATAATAATAATAATATTAATAATAACTAGAGCTTAAGTCTAAGAAAACAATGCAAATATACAGCTACGTTCAAGTTAGTAGAAGTACGGACACAAGAATAAACCAAAAAGAATTTAGTTTATTTAGAAAAATTCAATTTAATTGATAAAAAAATTAGCAATATTATAATATTCAGTTACTCTTCTTGTAAGATATGTTTACTAAGAAAAAATTTATTTGGTGTTTAAAATAATAAGGATATTAGTCTTATACAAAAAAAATGATATGATATAACCATTGGACATGGTTTCCTATGAGATTTATGTTAGAACATTAAGCTAGCAACTATAAAAATCCATTTCCACTAATCCGAATCCATTAAATTGCAAATCTACTAACACAATTTGTGTCAATTCTGTTGGTCAATTCATTTAATGTCATGTCGGCATATAAAAACATCACTTTTCTCAATTTTTCAATGCACAGCCGGTAACAATCACTTTCATAACACCATGTTTGGTATTTGTTTAGAGTACGCTCTATAAAACAAAACAATTTTACCCTGCTGTGATTTGATCACAAAATTTTATAAATTTTTCCATTGACTACACCACATGTTCTAAGACAAAATTTAGGCGTTTATGTATAGTTACTTAACTTACTGCAAGGCACAGATTCTTAGTAATTATTTCTGAGAGAGGAAAAAAATGACATTTATCGATCTTTAATACTCGATTTTCTTAACGTTTGACCTAAAATTATTCTATTGCAGTATAAGTAACTATCTCGTCAGATCATTCGACATAATTAAACTGCTTGTAAGATTTTTTTTATTATATTCTCACCGCATTTTCTTGCACTTTTTCCACATATATTAATACTAAATATTCTAACTAAAAAATTTGTTTTATTACTACTTTTTATTAATTAATATAGTGTTTTGTTTGATTAACACAAGTAAATCGACACCCATTTTTTTTTAGCGCCATAAATTGGAAATAATTTAAAATTTTTTTTTTTAGCAAAAATATCTTACAAAAAATATTCTTTTAAAAATAATTATTTCACGGGCTAATTGGTCAGTTATTAAATAATGATATTTTTATAAAAAAAAAGGAGGTAAGAAATAACATCAAAATGGTTTTGAACAAAAATGATTTATCTAACCCAGTAATACATAGAAATCAAAAAGTAAACCAGAATACTCAAATTTATAAAAGTATGGTATATGTCCCAAAACTCTCCAATCAAATTACAACTTCCACAATATATGACAAAGAAAAATATAAAATTACATATAAGACTCATGGCACGATGAAGACGATGTTTTCGAACACCAAATCTAAAATAGATACTTTGGATAGACACAATGTGAATTATCAAATTAGATGTAAAGGTGATGGATCCAACATATGCAACCAAGTATATGTTGGTACAACAAAAAACAAGTTAAAGACCCGTATATCCGGACATAAACACAGTGGCAAATATAAAAATAATATTGACTCAAAAACGGCACTGGCCGTTTTACATTACATCAAAATATGAGCCAGACGTTGATAACATAAAGGTGTTACACCAAGAAAAACATCCACAAAAACGCTTTTTCTTAGAGATGTTATACATCCTTCAAACTCCAAGTGACACCAGACTAAATTTCAAAAGTGACATACAACACTGTGCTCAGGTGTATAAAAACACCTTCGACAAATCCGGAAGAGGATAAATATATTTTTCTTATATATATGGTGTTTTTATGATTCTTATAGTCAAAGTATTGTATATTTTCCAAATACATATGTATGTTTCATGTTTCAATGTAAATGTAATTTTTTATTGTTTCTATGTAATGTATACCTTAATATTAATTACAATAGGGGTATTCAGGCAACTGATTAGTTGCTTAGTTGATTCAAAAACTTCATATAAAAAAAATTTAGCATTTTGATATTAATCAGTTGCTTGAACGACCCAAAATGCGTAATCTGATTAGTTCGCACTCGCATCAACAGCAAAAGCGAAACGTACGTTAACAGTGAAAATTGTTTACACACAATTCAAACAGCTAAGAGAGATAGCTAACAAATTTCTATACAAAAGTTCATTTTAAGTTATTATTACGACACTTGGGACTGGCAGCACTATTAATCAAATTTGTACTAATCTGAGAATCTATTTCGGTGATTCTCTGCTTAGTTTCATTCTTGTGTGCAAATTTTTGTTGTAATCAACTACTAAGCAACTAATCAGTTGCTTGAATACCCCTAATGTATTTATATGTATAGTTCCCCGATGATGACTATAGATTATAGTCGAAATATTGGACAATAAAAATCTCATAAAACTAAATAATAAAATTTTTTTTTTTTTTTAAAAATATCATGATTTAATAACTGACCAATTAGCCCGTGAAATAATTATTTTTAAAAAAATTTCTTTTGGTCATTAAAACATTTAATTATTAAAAAATAATCTTAAAACTGAAGATTATAACATTTAAAATATTTAATTGTAAAATAATTTTTATCAATTTAATTGAATATATATATAAAAAATTATTTTTGCTCATTGTTTGGTAGCATTCTCATTAATTAAAAACACAGCTATATATCTAAAATAAATTTATCAAATCAACAAGTAAATAATTGATTTGATTTTTCCATATTTTATGTTTTTTAATGTTGCAATATCTTACCGTCTAATTTATTTTCTTCGTGTTCGATAAATAAATTTGACTTCATCGATAAACTAGTTGATTTTAGTATATTACTTTCACACGCGTTATGACATTTAGCAATCACATCCTTGCAAATTTTTACTTCTTTGTCCAATCTATCAATAAATATGTTTAACCCATTACATTGATGAAACTTAACGATGTCAATATTTGTAATTAAGTCTACAACACGAACAGCTCGTGTGACAAATGTTATATGTTCTATATCATCTCCAATCCATCCTATAACATGTAAAAGAATCTGCATCATTCCGCTTTTAATCAACGATTGGCCACCTGTTTCATAACTAGCTAAATGATATAATAAACTAAACAAAGAAGTCGCAAGAATCAAAGGATATTTCTCGGAAGATCCATTTTCCGTTAAGCTAAAAATACAATCACGAACAAGCGAAGGAAGTATACCACCTTGTTGCTCAGCACCAGTATATTGTATAATTTTGGGAAGTCTTGTTCCAGGTCTGCGAAAACAAAATATAGATTAATACGTGTTATAATCATATATATATATTTATATTAGAGATTATATATTACCTTGGTACGTTCGGATTGCGATCAAAATGTAATATTGATGTAAGCGTTCTGAGTACAGCCGCTCTTATTTCTACCAGCTTAACATCCTCTTTGTCAATAAGTTCACAAAGTTCTTCTCCAAATCCAGGATAAAGAATCTTATCCACATTATCGTAAAGAGCGTTTGAATATATTAGAACAGATATTGCTTGGAGCCGCGCCTGCACAAACTGTAATCTAAGAGCATAGTCGTTAAATCCTGAAACCAAGCAGGCTCTATGTGCTATTCGCATCTATATTGATAAAAAGTAAATTTTTATTTTTTTTTTTTGTTTTTTGAACTTTAAAAAAATACAATACTATGAGAAGAGAATAATGTAGTCTGATTCATTTACATAATAAATTCAATTATATATTTTGCATAACTAACAAAGCAAACATAAGTATTTTAAAAACTGCTCCAGTCATTTAAAGGTTTTACCATATTCAGTAAAATAAAAGCAATACAATAAATTGGTATAATTAATTCTAATAAACAAAAACCAGCCAATAATTAAGAACTAAATACAAATTAGGTTTCCGAATAGTAGTGAATTACAATAAAAAATATTTTAATTAATTGTTTTTTTTTTCGTGGCCAACAGTTGTTTTGAATATTGCTACATACTCTTCATCAGTGGTTCTTTGAAGCAAAAAGGCAACTCAGTAGCCTGAGTGTGTGTGTTTATAATACTCTAATTATCAATATTTATACATACATTAGGCTGCGGTTACAGTTGCTGAGAACAATTCGCACGACGTATTGCCTTTCTCACGCGAAAATTTGATAAAACAAAATATTTTGTTTGATATTCATGCGTTCGTGCAAAGTCGAAGATGTAAATAGTGAAATTGAAAGGTGTGTGTTGTTTTCACGTGATTTACAAATGGAAATAAATTTTAAATCATATACTATTTTTAGGAAATTGATTGTGATTTTTTATTTCTTTGTTTGAGGAATAGACAAACTCTCCATTTTTATACCTTGAAGAATAAAAATCATGCACCCAAATTTATCATTTGTTATTTAAAATTAATAAATAACTTGATAACGAATTTTCCGCTAAATATATTTCATCTTACAATTCTAAACTCAGTCTCGATAACAAATTGTTAATTTACAAATCAATATTAAAGCCAATTTGACTTATGGTATATACAGTGGTGTTCAGCGTGTAACATAAACATATAAAAAATACAGAGAGTACAAAATAAAATTCTCCGACAAGTTTCGTGCGCTCCCTGGTATGTCAAAAACAATAATCTTCACAAAAATCTAAATCTACCAAGTATTGAAAAAGTTATTCTTTAATATACACCTAAATTCCGGAAGAGACTCAAATCGCATCCAAATCTTTATGGTCGACATTTATCTTCTGCAAATGCACTAAATCGCCTTAAAAGAAATTCATTCAGAAATATGAATACCCCAGCTCAATAGCATACATGTTAGTTTTTTAAGATTCGCAAAATTATTGTCAATTTTTATTTAGAAAGATTCAAAAAATAAACCAACGGAAATAACAAAAAAAAATATTTCATCTTCACTATCCAATTTGATTTTAAAACAAACACAACAGAACTGTCAATTCGCAAGCAATGTAACCGCAACATGCGATGTGTTCGCATCAGGAAACGCAAGACAAAATTTGCATTCAATGTAAACGCAGCCTTAGATGTAAACAAAAAAGAAGAGAACAGAAAGGGAATAGTAATATGGTAGTTCTTACCCGTTCACAAAGAAATGAAATGAACACAGAACAGAAAAATGAATTAAAAACGTGGCGCAAACCATAAAAATTGTACATACCAGAAGTAATAAATAAAAAAATAACAACGAAACTACATTTGTGTACGCAAATAAATAGAAATAGATATAGAAGTACGGACAACTACAAAATGAGTTAATAAATGAAAACAAAGAAGAAGACAGACAAGGATGATAGTAACATGCAAGGGGTTTGCACCAAAATATATGTGGGAAGCATCACAAAACGCGGTAGGTGAAAGGTATGAGGTAGAGACACAATATGTAGAAGGGAGTAGCCTTGAATTAACAGGTGAAGAATTAGTTATTTACGAAGGCGGTTTGATAAGTCAGTGACTTTTTGAATAAAACAAATTTTTTCGGCAAATAAAAATTTTATTTTTCTACATAATCACCTTTTAGTTCGATACATTTAGTCCAGCGTTTTTCTAAGTTTCTTATTCCCTCCAAATAATAGGTTTTCTCAAAGCTCTCAAAATACGCGTTTGTTTCGGTAATGAATTCTTCATTCGACTCAAATCTCTTACCGCCTATTTCATTTGGTTTGGAAACAGAAAATAGTTCGCAGGGGGCTAAATCTGGAGAATATGATGGATGGGGTAGCAGTTCGTATTCCAATTCGTGGATTTTGGCCATCGTGACTAGACAAATGTGCACACGTGCATTGTCTTGATGGAACAGCACTTTCTTCTTCGCCAAATGCGGCCGTTTTTGCTTCAAATTATCGTCGAATCTGTTCAAAAGCTTTGAATAATACTCGCTGGTGATCGTTTTACCTTTCTCGAGGTAATCGATGTGAATGACACCACTTGCATTCCAAAAAACTGTGGCCATGACCTTATTGGCTGACAGACTCTATTTGGCCTTCTTTGGTCCACGTTCACCCCTAGCAACCCACTGATTCGATTGTTCCTTGGTCTCTGGCGTGTTGTGATGGATCCATGTTTCGTCCACAGTAACAAAAAGTCGCAAAGATTTGTTCGGATTACGGCTGAACATCGCTAAACACTCTTTTCAAGTGATCACACGACTGCGCTTATGGTCGAGTGTGAGCAATCGCTGCACCCATCTCGCGGAGAGTTTTTTCATGTTCAAATATTTGTGTAAAATATGATGTTCCCGTTAAGTTGAGATACCTACAGCATGAGCCAACTTACGCACTTTCATTCTCCGATCATCCAATATCATTTCATGGATTTTACCGACGATTTCCGGCGTGATCACTTCTTTTGGGCGACCTGAACGTTTGGCGTCACTACTGCTGGTACGACCACAACGGAACTCTGTAAACCACTTCTTAACCATTGAAATTGATGGTGCCGAGTCCCCGTAGTATTTATCAAGTCTTTCCTTAGTTTCAGTGATGAATTTTTTACGTAAAAAGTAATGCTTAATCAGCACACGAAATTCACTTTTTTCCATTTTCGTAAAAATTTACGAGGTTATCTGCTTTAAACGACTATCAAACACCAACTGAACAACTTAGCTTGCTCATAAGAAATCAGAAAGTTGCCCACTGGTAGATTACAGCTGACGGCAGCACTGTTGCATTTGGAGTAACTACGCGGGAAATTCAAAAAGTCACTGACTTATCAAACCGCCCTCGTATATTCGTTATGTGCAAATTGCTAATTTTTTAACAACTTGGTACTTCGTGTTTTTGTTTTGGTATTCGTAATTATATTTATGATTAGCAATAATATTCGACACTTACAGAAATATAAATTATAATCTTAAAATTTAGTGTTTTATATATATAGAGTTGGTGACCTGTCGTATATAATTCATTTCACAAATAAATACTTTACACCTGAAAACGGACACAACATAAGACAGCTTTTACGTTCACATACAGTACGACTCATAAGTCTACAAGCAGGCACTACAAAAAACTTTGAGAATATTTTTCAAAAAAATAAATTTATTGGAAACATATTTTATTGTTTTTTTATAACAAAAAACAGCCGAGATAACTGTACTTTTATCATAAAGAGCAGCAAAACAAGCGATCAAAAGTCTACAAGCACTTGGTATTTCTGCAGTTCTAAGGCGAGTTAAATGATAATTTATAAAAATTTGGATTGCGTCTTATTCTGTTTGTGGTAATTAATTATAAAACTGCAAAAAATTGTATTCTGCTTAAAATATTTACTACAAATATTTACAATAGTATCTCACCGGAAAGAAATAAGCGTCGTAGAAAGAAAAATCGTCATAAAATTTTGGGAGGAAGAGAAGTCGAACTGGAAAATTGGACATTTGTTTGGAAGATCGCACTGTTCAGTCCATACCGTGATCAGAAATTGGAAAAATACCGGAATTATCACGTAAAGACGCGTTCTATCGAAACTCACTCACCGTAAAATCCGCTTAATATTAAATTCAGTCAAGAAAAATCCACGTTTGATGCATAGGAAATTGTAAGTAATATACAGGAAAGATTTGCAAAAAATATTTTCGTGGTTACTGCACGTAGAATTTTGAAATGGGCCGGTTTTCATGGTAAAATAGCAATACGGAAGCCTTACATATCTTTAATTAATCGAAACAAGCGCATTGCTTTTTAAAATAAATATGTAGATATGCCGGAGAAGTTTTAAAATAACGTGCTTTACTCCGACGAATCCAAGTTCTGTGTTTCTAGCATTCAATGATGTAAATTAGTATAGAGTAAGCGAGGTGAAGCATACAATAAACAAAATGTTTTCCCAACTGTAAAACATGGAGGTGGTGCACTGGTGCTCTGGGGTTGTATGGCAGCTAATGGTACGGGAAATGTTGAGTTTGTGGAAACAACAATGAATAGAGATATTTATCTAAACATTTTGAAGAGTTATATGCGATCAAGTGCTGCCAAATTGGGACTAACAGATGGATTTTACTTTCAACAGGACAATGATCCTAAACATACAGCATAAATTGTGCGCCTTTGGTTGCTATATAACGCTCCAAAACTGCTGAATATGCAGCCACAATCATCGATTTTAAATCCAATTGAACATTTATGGGAATTTTTGAAAAGATAAACTTGTAAATATTCAATTTCGACCAAACAGCATCTGAAACACATAATCCTAAAGGAATGGGGTGAAGTTTCGATGAAAAACCGTCTAGTGCAAGTTTTTAAGCATTACGGTTACCCAACTAGTTACTAAATTGCATAAAAAATCAGAAATTTTACACTAAAACTTTGCCATATACTAAGTGTTTGTAGACTTTTAATCGCTTATTTTGCTACCCTTTATGATAAAAGTACCGTTATCTCAACTGTTTTTTGCAGAAATGCAACGAAACTTCGCAAAAACATTGTGCATTGAATGTTATAAAAAAACAATAATATAAATAATATTTTTTTGAAAAATATTTTCAAACAAAGTTTTTTGTAGTGACTGCTTGTAGACTTATGACTCTGACTGTATATAACACTTCTTTCAATAATGTGTGTGACTGACACATAGATGGCGACACTAATACTAAATAAATATTTTTTTCGAAAGTGGCAACCTTTTTAGGCTTATTGTCAAAATCATATGTTAATCCGACCATTTGTTTACAAGTTACAGTGCTTTAAGTGACCGATGACATTCCATCTACTGGACGGCCAAATGACGCTGTTATGTTATTCCGGAAAACGTTAAAAAACACTGAAAATCATTATGTCCGACCGTAAAGTGAAAGTGAGGGAGATTGCTGACATTCTACAGATATCAGCAGGTAGTGTACACACCATAATACACGAACATTTGGGTATGAAAAAGGTGTTTTCCAAATGTGTGCCGCGTTTGCTCACACCGGAGCAAAAACAACAACGAATCGATGATTCAAAGAGCTGTTTGGACATGTTTACGCGCAATAACTCGGAGTTTTTGCGTCGGTACATCACGATGAATGAAACATGGATCCACCATTTCACTCCAGAGTCAAATGGGCAGTCTGCTGAGCGAGATGTAGCCGGTGAAAGCCGCCCAAAGCGACCAAAGACGCAGCATTTGGCTGGCAAGGTTATGGCGTCGTCTGTATTTTGGGATGCGCATGGAATAATATTCATCGACTATCTCCAGAAGTCTCCAGAAGTTTTTCCCTTGCTAGGTAGTCACCTTGTCGTGGTGTAGGGGCTTATTGTGGACTGAAGCATGTCATATGGAAGTCATGACATGATGATTTTTCATGTGACATGATTCAGCACACAAACTAAGAACTGCCGCCAACGCACAGGTTGAAAGTAGGTATCTACGATTCCTGATCAGTCGTTGAGGCTAGCTAGTGGACTTTAATGGACACTTGCTAATTGGTCAGTCCTATAGGAAAGTGCGGCTATCTATCAGACCAATGACTCGCCTTCAGTACGGTCATGTCTCTGCTGTTTGTGGGTCGCCGATAGTCGGGCGGGGGAGAAGGAAAACTCCCTAGGGCAGGGTCTGTACATATTCTAGGCTCCCAAGGCTAGGTCTTGATAGACTGGAATATGAACATACCTATTGCCCCAAACAAACCCCCTAAACTCACAGTGGAACAGCTATGCTGGTGAACTTGCTTGACAGGGTAGAGTCAAGCTTAATAGCGAACTCCGTACCAGGTCTGACAAACCTACGGTTTCAATTTGTCCTTCCCATGGGGGCGCTCATGGGTGACCAACCTGCACGGTTTATTTAAACTTACTTTGTATGGAACCTAATAACATTTTCAATTCTATGGACTGCACACCTTTAAATGTGCAAAATATGGCTTTACACAGCCAAAACTTATCACTGAACGAGGGGGCACCTGGTACCATCGTCAGTGAACAAATGGACCACGACTTGTTGGAGAGGGCACCTGGTCCTCTACCCGACAAGCCGGAGGAAATGGACATTCCACTTAGCCAAGAGTCGGCTGGGATGTCTATCTCTTCGGAACAGGAGAGAGATCTTCTGGAGCCTGGTCTAACTAAAAAGACTCAAACGAGGGTGAAGCTATCCGGCGCTGGACGCAAAAGGTTGAAGGCTTTACTTGCCAAGGGCATCCCGCTGGAAACAGCAAGGTCCTTGGCAGTAAAGCCGGCCACTGCGACTAACGAAGGGCAGGCAACACCAAAAAGATCCCGATCGGACAGCTCTACACCAACATCAAGCTCAAAACCGACAAAGCGGATTGCACTACAGGGCAAGAAAGTTGATAATAAATCAACAGTGCCTGCAACTGCTTTGCCGATTTTCAGTAGGATGAAGGAAGTAGAGACCTCACACGGGGGCAAACCTGGTCCCAGTAAAGAGGTGGCGACGGTATCTGTGGGGCAGGCTGAACACAGTACTTCTTCCGAAGACCATTGTTCAAAGCCTACCCTAGCAGAGACTGTTCGCTCTAAGAAGATCGGTATACTACCGCACAATTTCCCAGAGGGCATTTGGTCCAATGAGGAAATTGGCAAGGTGCAGAAATGCATCCTCGACAAGATGTACGAAACTTGTCGAGCTCCTGGGGTAAAGCCTCATTTCGCCGGTTACAGTCTAAAGCCCGGATGGTTTACCATTAACTGTCTGGACGACGAGACTGTAACTTGGTCTAAAGAGACAATCCCAGCCTTGAAGCCGTGGGAAGGAGCCCAGCTGAAGGTAGTGGACGAGGCAGAAGTGCCAAAGTCTGAAATCTATGTTGGCTACTTCCCAGGCTCAGCTTCCTGGCAAAGCGACCGTATTCTGGGACAAATTGAGTGCCAAAATTCGGGCATGCGTGTCAGGGACTGGCGGGTACTCCACAGGCTCAATAAGGGCGACATCGTCGAGATGGCGATTGCTCTGGATCCTATGTCGTCCGAAATGGTCGGAAAGCTGGGCAATAAAGTCTTCTATGGACTTAGCAGTGCCGTGCTGAGACCAAGACATAAAGGAAACAGAACAAAGGAAGTGGTTGAAGATGAGCGACCAACAACATCTGCGGCTTGTGCTCAGTCAAGCAATCAGAAGCCGAAAACGGGTCTCAATTCCGGGGGACCACCCTTGAGAGGGGGCAGAATCCGTGCCCAGGGCCGAAAACCTTCCGCTCTCTCTGGTCGTCTGAGGAAATGGGAAAGAAAAGACCCGGAGGCCGCGGAATTGCTGCGCGGTACGAAGGGCGGCAAGGTCCGCAAGGGCCAGTCTGGGATATAATGTCCCGGACTCCGCCACATCCGCAAAACTCTTGGAGGCAACTTCATTGCCTCCAAATCAACCTCCACCGGGCTATAGCAGCTTCATACAGGCTCAGTGCCCTGGTGGAACAACACTGTCTGGATTTTGTGGCCATCCAAGAACCATGGGCCACAAAGGGGCGCATAAACGGTCTACAGA